CTCCCAATCTCGCGATTCACACATTGGCTCTTCAGCCTGCTCGTGCATACAGTCTGAGTGTCATCGACCGACCCTCCGACGCTGCACCAACACACTACTCTCTTTTGCCTCGGCCTCCGACACTTGTTCGACCGAGCCACCTGTGCTCGTCGATCAGGAAGGACCACACTCGCTCGAATTCTCCCTTTGGCTGTTCTGAGCCTTGGCACAATCGTGTGCCCGACACACATTCACTCACTTGCGCTTCTGAAACCAACCTCTTTCCAGGCCTTGTCTCAAACGACGGAGCCATCCCTCATTCCTTCTTCCACCAGTCTTCACCCTCCCCAACGGTCCTCACCCCCGGCCGTCGCACGGATCGACATCTTCACTGATTGCTCGATCTCGCTCACAACCAAAGTCTTAAGCAGCTTGCTCGAAGACACCCCTCCCATCGTCCCCATCATCATCCAATCCTCCTCGCCAGCTCTTCCCCCTCGAGCCTTCAACGAAGGATACTCTTCATCACGCATTCACACAGCCCGACACAACTCTCCTACCTCTTCCCCCAGCTCGACTCTCCACCACGATGCGCTTATCCTCATACACAGCTCTGGCCGCCTGGGCATTGGTTGCCGCATACGCTTCCCTCCCCCAAGCCGCACAAGCGCATTTGCTCCCTGCCAACCAATTCGTGAGTGTGTAGCGCGTCCCATGAGTTGAAGCGGCGCCGTCAAGCTTACATGGAGCTTGATCGTTTTGCGTGACAGGCAAACAACGACCGTCCGGATGCTGAGCTGCACGCTCACCGCAGGCTAGCGTCTGGTCGACGCGTCGACTCTCCCTTCGGCTCCGGCTGCGTGGGCACAACCAGCATCTGCGCGCTCTCTCACTCATCTGCAGATCGTTCGGAGCGCGCGACGTTGCGTCGCGAGATCCCCCCAACCCTCTGGCAAGTTGCTGAGGATATGGAGTGGGAACGCAGTCAACGTGAGGCTACTGCCGGTGTCCGTCTCGAGAAGTTCCTGGAGCGTCTGGGTGGAGAAGGCGAGACCCACCAGAAGAAGCTGACTTGGTCGCAAGAAGAGCTCATCAGACGCCAAAAACTTGATGAAAAGCGTGTTCAGACGCAGCGCGTTGCGAACGAGAAGCTGCGCAAGCTCGAGCGCGAGGAAGAGGAGGCCGACCGTCTTCGCGAACTTGGATGGAAGCGTTTGCTGGTTGCTGCCAACGAACCGGCCAAACTCGCAGCCGATCGCGACATCATCAATCCCCGCCACGGTGGAAACAAGCGCAACAGCAGCCGCAAGTTGACCCGTCAAGAACGTCTCGAGCTTGCTTCTTGGCACCACGAGCTGCGCGAGCGCATGTCGCGTCAGTTCGAGAGCGATGTCGAGGTTCAACCAGAATGGACTCGCAGCTTTGACGCCGACATGCTCAAGTATAATGGTGTCGACTTGCCGTCGCTGCTCAAGAAGCGGAGCGTGCCCATCGCTGAGCGTGCTCCGGCACAGAACATTGTCACCGCCTTCCGTCCTGATCGCTAAATGGATCACGGAACGCACCAAGTCAATGTTTCTGGCGCTCGATACCGCCAAACGCTCCACACCTATCCCGGTCGCAACGCACTCGCATAGATGGCAGAAGTCCCGCTTCACGGTCGACTCCCTGCTCACATTTTCACCACGCCTCTCAACACTCGCTTTCTCACTTCGCAATAGGCGGACTTCCACCGCCAGTCACCCTGATCTCAATAGAAGCAAGCCATAGCCTGCACCGACCGACCCATCCGGTCCTCATTTCGCAAAATCACCATCCATTATTGTCTTCACCGTCGATAGACTAAATGGGTCACTTTCGCTCTTCTCTGCTAAGCGCCTTCGCCGGACGCTGAGCCCTATTCATCTTCTTTTCAACCCCCCCTCCCCACCGTGTAAAAGTATCACCTTAACCTTGATCTCAGGCACTGACTGTCAGTCGCCACAACGCGCGCCGCACATAGCGAGTCGAGCGCACAATTCAAGATCACATCACACCGTCATCACCTCGTCGGAGTGTGAGATGTTTTTGTGGATTGCACACATGTCGACACACCGCTCACAGCCAGAGCTGACTGACGCCATCCCTCGTCCACTAAACAGGGTCAGTCAAAGCTGTGGTCGTGACGCATCGAGTCCAATGTGCGACGCGCCTCATCTCTCGATGGTCGGGCGTCAGGGCCCATCATGTGCACGGGATGGTCCTCGATGTCGTAGACACCCTTCTTGATGTAGCGCGGTCTACCGTCTGGATGAGGCTCGATCTCAAATTTACCGACGACTTGTCCTCTGTGCACAGCGTCAAAGTGGTGCCAGTGAGGGTCGGACTCCATCGTCTTGGGAGCCCCTGGCCCCGTGATCTGCGTGATACTGAAGTCGCGATTGATGCGCCAGACGCTCCCTGGATGTGCCCAGAAGGCTTTGACCCGCTTTCTTTCCGAGCTTCCTTGGGTCAAGCCTCCATGGTGAATGCCTGGCTTTTCATCTTGATTCGGGTGCATCTCCTTCGCTCCGGGTGGAGGACCGTACATGCGGTTCCAGTACCCGTACGGATCGGCGTACTCGTCAAGATCCTTTGAGAGTTTGGGATAAGTGCCGGGCACGATCGTCACTGTGTCGGTCACGACTGGAGCGCGAACCGGCGCGACTTCGAGCACAGCTGGGCGCGAGCAGCATAGACCCCTAAAAGCCTGTCCGTTCGGGCAACATAGTAAGAAGCAGCGACTGGCAAGTGAGCACGGCGGTCAAGCAGTGTGACTCGCCGTTCCCAGTGCTTATACCCACCTCTCCAAGCGGAAGGCCCGCACCGTACTCGACGAACAGAGAAAAAACAGCAGCAGTTGTTGCTGCCCTGAAGATCTTCATTCTTTTCAGGACTGAATTGAGCGCGTTCGTAGTATGTCGCAATCAGCTGCGCACAAGCCTTGAGAGTGCGAAAAGTGCTGTGAAGATGGGACTTCGAGGGCATCTGCCAAGCAAGAGTGGAAGCCACTGACTATGATCTAGCAGGTTGTCATCAACGAGACTTTAAGGGCCACCGTCAAGTGACTGCTTTGAGCTCACTTCTTGCAAAGATGTGACGGCGATGTGCCAGAGACCTCTGTCGTGAGCGGAGCGTCTTACTCTTTCCCTGTTGATTGCACACACACACAAGACAACGTGTTTACGTGTTTGGGATGTCTTCTAAACACGCCAGAGAGCCCAGGAACGACAATCGTGTCAATATTTCCACCTGCTCGTATTGGGACGGTCACAGCATGTTTTTACTAGCCCGCACTCTCGATGGCTATCGCGAGGAGTGGGGATATCGTTTGAGTACCCCGCTGACGAAAAGATGGTGGTCTGTTGTGTGAGTGATGAATGCGAGCCACTTGCTTTGGCTCCTAAGTGTGAGACGACCGTAGCATACGTAGTCCAGAACTTGCCTAGCTAAGCAGCGCATGATCCGGGTAACATTGGGACAGGCAGCAGAGGGCCATAAAAGGCGTTCTGTGTCGGGGTCGGATCTCGTCTCAGGTTTGTGTCTCTGATCCTCAGTCAGATTGCTACATCGTCCTGAACATCACCGAAAGCTTTTGTCATCTGCTGAAAAGACCTCTCGATGAAGTTCCTGAAGGCTATCGTGCTTTGCGCCAGTGCGCTCGTACTTATCGGTCCACAGATTGCTCGATCGCTTCCGCTTGGCAATGTGAGTTCAAAGGGCGGCAGAAGCCTTCCAGGACGGTGCTGCTCAACTCACGAATGCTTTTCATACGGGCTCAAAATTTTTTGAGAGAAGGCTTTCAAGAAGCTGTGCTGCTCAAAGGAAAAGTCCTTAGCATCTGGCAGCTCGGACTCCGATGTTTTCGTTCCCCTCAACATTCCAGCAAGCCGTTATAAGCCATTCAACAAGCACATGGATGAATACGTGGACCCGGTGAAAGATGAAGATCATCACTATGGGGGTCTCAGAGACCCATTTCACCCGAACGACCCTACCATCATCCCGCCCAATGCGTGGGAGAATACCGGTCTTGCCCACGAGTCTTTGTGGGAAGGTACTTCGCACCAGACGAAGAAGAGGGCTTTCTGGGCCTTTCCGGGCACCAGATGGCAAGTAATGCCAGATGGCGAGCTGCACCAAGTGGAGGGTGAAGGCGTCCCAAAAAGGGTGCAAGCGAAGCTGAGCGATCACAAGTTTGACGCCATCCACAAAGGAGAGGTGGTAGGCAGGTTTGAGTTGCCCTTTGATCCATCTGGCGGGCAGGTTCCGCTCAAAAAGGGTGTCTACGACATCGAACGGGAGCCAGTGCATGGGCGAGGATCTGTGATGAGACCGAATTGGGAACAGGCCTTGAGGACCATGAACGAAATGCGTGTCAAGCAGAGGATCGCGCAGGCAAAGGTCCAAGCAGAAGCCAAGCCCGCCCCGGGCCCCGTTCCGGCACCGGCAGAGCAGATGACGGCAAAGCAGGGAGCCGCGACGATGCCAGTAGCAGCGGAACAAGGTCCAGCAAAGACCCCAGATCAGGAGGAGCACCCGTGACCAACCGCATTGTCGGATCTGTCTCGTGGCTCGACATCTAGATAACACTCCTGCTGCCGGGTCGAGGCAGGTGCTGTGCAAAAAGAAATGTCAGCCAGACCAAATGTCAGGTCTTCGGCTCACCTAGCGTACAGATTGAAGCGATGAAAATGCTATTTCGAGTGAAAGCATGCAAGTGCATCATCTCTGCCAGCGTCGTATCATGGCCAAATAGATTTGTTGGACCACGCGTTGATGCCGAAAAGTCCTGCTGAGAAATGCGGCCAAAGGGGTCCAGAGCTCATCGAGCCTGACCACAAGCAGTCACAGTACAACAACCTCAAGAGTGAAGGCACGACTGCGTTGCGAGCCATGTTCGCCGCTTGAGGCGTCGACGCCTGTGGGGTAGCCTGGTGGCGATTTTGGGTTCAGGTACAGGCAAAGATGGTTCGCCGCGAGGTCAGCTTTCCACGAGGCTTTTCAAGGTGACGCCATTGCCGCGCGTTGACCAGCAGTGATCTTGCCTCGCCTCAGCATCGATTGACCCCTGTCATTGCCTGCATTCGCCAGGACTAGATACGTCCAAAGAGATGCTTTGTTTGAAGTCGGCTGAGACCGCCAGACTAGGAGCCGTGTTGATCAACGAACACGCAAACTTTTGGCGACTGTTGTGACCACGGCAGCGTCGTGAGTACTGGCCTCGCGAAGGACGTGGAATATGGCGTTGTTACCGCCCATGAACCCATGCCTGCCTGATCAGACCCCGCCGCCAACGGGCCTGTGTTGCGCCCCTGCGTGAGCATCGTGCCGCCGGTGCCCCTTGCTGTTTGGACGAATGACGATGGAGGAAAATAAGTGAGTGTCTTTGAAGAGTGTGTATTGAAGACTACATGTCTGCTTGGAAATCACAGCGATCGCGGTCGCTCAATTACAGTTGCTTCTCCCGTGACGTGATTGTTGAGTGGGTTGGTCGCGTGCATTGTACGTAGCTGATATTTTGAGAGCATACAAAAGGCAGGATCCATCCGGCTCTTTTTCCCGGCAATGCACATCATTCGCCTTCACCCGCATTCGGAACATATTAGGAACTCCGATCATACCGCCTGCCACGTACAGGGATCGGATGCGACTGCACGATGAAGGGGTCGAGGTGGTTTTTGCTCTGCGCTATCGCAATTGTGGCTGCACTTACTCGTCCGGTGATGACGCGACCAGCTTCGCTTGGTAAGGTGAGCTAGTCGCTGTACGACACGCTCACACATGAACAAGTTTTGACGCAGACTTGGGTTGGTGCTGCTCTATTGGCGCAGGCGCTGAAGAAGCTATGCTGCGCGCGAGACGGCGCTGAGGATGGAGGAGGTGCACTTCTGGCCTCCCCACCGCTCAACATCCCCGAAGGTTTGTACAAAGTCTTTCACAAAGACATGAACGAGTACGTCGATCCTATGAAAGACAGGGAACAGTACTATGGAGGTTACACGGACCCCAGTCGCCGTCACGATCCAGCCATCGTTCCTTCTGACGAGTGGGAGCGAGTCATTGACCACGAGTCCCTGTACGAAGGCAGATCCCGTCATACCAACAAGAAAGCCTTCTGGGCATTCCCGGGGAGTAGATGGCAAGTCGAGCCCAATGGTGCCCTGCATCAGCTTGAAGGGGACGGAAGACTGAAACAGGTAAAGGCAGAGCTGAAAGACCTCAAGTACGACGCGATCCACAAAGGCCAAGTTGTTGGCCGCTTTGAACTTCCAAAAGATCCTGCTGGGGGCCCTACAATGCATAAGAAGGGTGTATATGACATCGAGGAGAATCCGGTTCAGGAGATGGGCATTCTGCATAGACCAACTTGGGACCAAGCGTCGAAGACGATGATCCAGATGCGCCGCAAGCAGGCCGCGCAAGAGCTAGAAGAGTTCAGGCAATCATCTGCTCGTTTCGCTGCCTCCTCTTCGGGTGCACGGGCTATAGAGCAATCGACTGCTCTGAAGCAATCGTTCGATCGCCACTCCTTACCCTCATCCAGCAGTCAGGCTCCTCAGCAGCTAATCGACACGAGGCCAGGATCTGCGCGCTACGCGTCCTCGACTTCGAGAGACCCAGCCTCGAGACCGACGGGCATTCTGAGGCAGTCGTCCGCTCGCTATGGCTCCTCTTCATCCAAAGATCTTGCGAAACCCTGAAATCATCTATCTACACGACACTCGGCAAACCGAAAGACGCTTCATGTAGAATGTGGTGCCGGGCCAGAGTCGATTGTCTTGAGCGAATGAATCTGCATGATAGAATGCATGATAGAATTTCGATCTCATGCCAGCTGAGCATGACTCGCCAAATGAGAGTCATGCTCAGTGTCGCCGCCACACATGGTGAAAGTTCGGCTTTGCGTTCGGGCTTTCAGCGCGTCAAATGTTCTTCGATGAAGGAAAAGAATCTGCCGCTGCTGGGTCTGATATGAGCAACATGGCATGAGCTGTGACGGTACTCGCTGTCTCTGTTCCATCAGCAACAGGTTCAAGGGGTCCTCGACTGCAGTTGGCAATTTCACTGAGCGTGCCCCTTTTCCTCCACCTGAGCAAGAGGGTGCGGCCCGGTAAATGCAGCAAAACGACTCACAGACGCACACAGGCTCGTCGACCATGTGTGCTAGGTTTGATGTTGATGATGAGCAAGTTATCATTGCGAGCATCGAAGCCACCTCATCTCGCCTCAGCATCGAGCTGCGCCAGCCTCGTTTGCAATTCTTCCCTCTTGCCCTTCAATTCTTCCACCTCTGCCAATCCTTGCAGCGTCGCCACCTCGACCTGCAAATTTCTCGAGATGCATTCAGCCCATTTGCTTTCTAGCCTGCTCAATGTCTCTCCTCCCTGCGTTTGTGACATTTTTCTGGATCGGTTGAGATCGGCAGTCTGTGTACGCATATCCTCCACCGCCTTTTCGTATTGACGCAACATGGACTCTTGCTGAAAGTTGTGAAGCCTCCACAAGTTTGCTGCCGAGCGAAGAGCCACGTATCCAGAGTGTCAGAAGATCTGAGGAAGACTCAAAGCGGCCACATACCGTACCCGCACCGGGTATGCGCCAGCTTGTCTATACGCCACTCGATTGACGCCCCTCCAAAACATTAAACATCCCCGCCACAGCTCATCTATTCAGTCAACAACTCACCACCGAACTTTTTCTCCAACTCCAAATTGCTTCTGCGAACATTCGCATGTCCCAAAGCCGCCTCCGCTTGACTCAAAGCTTCGTCCCACGCGTTAGCATCCGAAGCTCCATCTCCAGAGGGCGATGAGAGGGCATAACGACTACCATCGATGGCTTTGGTTTTGTTGCCTTCGGCAATACGGCTCAGCTCTGCTTGCAAGTCAGATCGGTGCTGCCAGGGGTGAAGATAGTGGGACAAACATCAGTACTTTATGATCAGCATCACATACATTCGTCTGATCAAACACGCCGCGCGCGGCTCTCACCTCGAACAATTTCGGTTCGACAGGCAACCTTTCCTTCACAACACCAATCGCTCCTCCACTAGCCTTGTCTCTCGCCGCAATCGACTGCAGTTCCGCTTGTATTTCCTTGTCTACACGAGATTTGAGACCGGGCACATTTTCCAACTCTCTATCGTGGTAAGGCAAGGCGTCGTACGTCACTCTTTGTATGACCGTGTGCGATGATCCTTCGCCCTGCGACGAGCTGGGCACGATGAGAGACATGGCTGATTGAGCTCGCTTGCTTGTCGTGATGGAAGAGATTTTGGCGAGAGGTGAGGGCTTGGCAAATCGCCAATGAGATGCGTGACTACAACGTCTGGCTGTTGAATATGTCACAGACGTAGATGGTGCGATGTCGACTTCAAGAAAGCCACGAAAGATCATCCACATTCAAATTCCGATTAAGGAAGTCCATCGGAGACTCTCAATAAGGGCTTGAGCGTCTTGCGTGTGGGTGCACGCCTGGGTTGCGCTCCAACACGTGACTCGTACGAAGCCGCCACGAAATAGCGTCCCAAAACGCGCCGCTCGACGCGCTTCAAGATCTTCTGTCCATAGCACAGGTCCTACATTCTTTACGTACATGCAAAATGTCAGTGTGAAGAAAATCAAACGCAAGTTGAGATCGTCGCGCGGTCACATCTGTGAATCAGGCGTCTCAGGCAAGGAGTTGTTAGACGGGATGGAAAAGAGAGATGTGTTGCATTGCAAGCGCAGCGCAAACCGAGTGGTATAGGGAACACGAGGCAAGTGCTTCATCAAGCAAGACTTCAATGAGCGCATCTCAGCTGTTGAAGTCTTCCGGAAAGCTGACCCGTAGACATGTTCCGGTCCGAGTCATGACGAGAGTCATCGCGCGACTTGTCATCCACCAAAGGTGTGGCCGGTCTAGGCGAGGCAGTTCCCTTCGTCGCTCGGTTGATGGGCGGAGGTTTAGGCTTCAAGTGAGAAGAAGCGGTCGTCTCCGAAGTCTTGGCCAGAGGATAAGAGCCCGAGACAGCCATCAGGTTCGGGCTGTTGTCGTTACTTGCAGAAGAAGGCGGTGGCGGCGGTCTTCGACGGACTTTGCCGGACGGGTAAAGGCCGTTGCTGGACGAGCTTCGAGCTCCTTCTGCAGCCTCGTCCATATCTGCAGGAGGCGGCTGCTCACGTGCCCGTGCGCTTAAGTCTGCGAAGGATGAGGCACGCGGTATGTGATCCCTTTCCCGCATGAATGACCGAGGGAGGGAATTGGCAGGTGCTGAATCAGGTTGGCGCGCCTCTGCAGCATCAGAGCTTGAGGGTGCAAATGTCTGCGATGCAGGATCTGAGGGTTGCAAGTAATCGCTTGGTGCGAGCTCGCTTCTGCTTTGAATTGGGGAATTAGGCATAGAGCCTCTTCTTGGTCTGCCCATGCCCACTCCTAGATAAGCAACACCATTTGTGCCGCGTGGCGGAGCCGGCGGCTTCCGTCTTTGAGGCGTGGAGCTTCCGCTTGCCGCGTTCGAAGAGCTATGCATTCTATCTCTCGAGGACAGGTCGGACAGGGTCGGTGTCCGATGTGTGCTGTCTTCATCGACATCACCTTCACCTGAAGCGTGCTGAACGTGGAGCGATGGCGGGCGGAAAGGTAACATCTCGGACTGTGTCTGCTTCGCCTCCGTTGATGGTTCGGAGGTCTGCACTCTGACCAATGGAAAACTGTATACGAGACCATCGGCAGTGTCGGGGAGCCCATCGACACTACCCGCGCTGAGAGCATTGTCCGACGACGGCTCGGGCGCGTTGGGCTTCAGGTCATCCTCATGCGTCGCAATGCCGGTACCGCCTTGAACGTTGACCGGGAGATCAGTTGAGGATGCTGTTCTCTCAGCAGCTGTCGCTTGTGACGAAGCGCCACGAGACTTGGGTGGTCTTGGTGGACCTGGTCCTCGCGAAGAAGCCCTCGGCGCCGAGTGCTCTGATAGCAGTGAGATTGAAGGCAGCGCCTGCGCATGCCAAGACGACTGCATCGCAGCGTCAGTCTCGCTGCCGCTGGCGACTACGCCTGAGGCAAAATCGGGGGTAAAAGTCGTTTGAGGGGAGGAAGGCACCGGTGTTGAGGTGGCGGTCCCGTTCCAAGGCGTCACTTCGATGTGCTGGGATATCGAGCTTACTCGTTCGCGGCCAGATTCATTTGCTTTGACGTCAGCGCTGGTGAAGAGAGAGCTCTCTTCAAAATCCCGACCAGCTGAGCCTACCAGGCTCGAATGAATGCCCCCGTCCTCGACTGCTACGGCAATCGCCATCGCATCAGCTCCGGTCGATGTTGAAGCGGAAGCGTCGGGCGCAATTACTGGCTCGCCATCCTCGATGGTAGTCTCTACCAGCACTTGTGATGCGGGCCCTCCAGCTATAGATTGCACGGAAGCGATCGCTACACCTGCATCGGCCAGTTCCTCCGTCATCGAGCTGCTCGAGTCGTGTCGTCCAACCAATTGCTTGATGGCGGCTGCATTCGAAGGATCCAGCGCGTCGAGCTCGACGCACCATTCAGCCTGCAGACAACGAGCCACTAAGCGACTTGTGGTCGGTGTGATGTCTCTCAAGTGCGCATGTGAGATCAAGCCCAGCAATAGGCGTCGGATCTCTGTTCGCTTGTACGGGTGCGACAGTAGTTGTGTGCAGGTGAGCAGCGGATGCAGCACCCTAAGGTATGTATGTCGAAGCTGTTGAGGACCGAGTATCTCAGGAGCAGTTCTGCAAAGCTGGCCCGAACGAGCCGAACCTACTCACCGATTCGCTTTCATCAGGGAGGTCTGAAAGCTCTCGGATGAAGATATCAACAAGAACCTTGAGATCATTAGTGTAGAAGTAGTGCGCCGTCTCTTGCATGGTGAAGAGCAAGTAGAGCAGCTTCAGAACGAGCAGCTGCATGCACAGATCCTCTGCATCTGAGCTAGAGGCGCGATTGAGCATGAAGATAAGATTCTCTCCGAAGGTCTTCGAGTGGTTGAAGCGCTCTTTTAAGATAGAAATGATGAGATTGCCGGACCTTTGCGGAGTATCCTTCGATGGTTTTTCGTCTCGAATAGCTTCGGTTGCTAATGCAAGGGCCGAAACCATGAATTGCTCATTCAGTGCGACCTAAGACAGTGTCCAGATGTTTGCTCAATTGGTGCCTGTACAGGTCGGCTACAGGCCAAGGCCGAACTCACGATGACTTTGATGAGCAGATAATTGAATTCCTCGTCCGCATGCAGTCGGGTGTCCTCCACCAAATCGAACAGATGATCTACTAGCTTCGCATCGATAGCTCCTGTAGAGTCCACCAGCGCATCGCCGGGCGTGCTCAGCTGGGTCCGCCATCCTCAAAATGTCTGGCAGATCACTCACTCATATCTCTATGATCCAGCTTTTGCACTCTACAGACTTCGTAAAGCAGTCTCACGGCTTTTTTCCGCAGCTCCAGCTGCCACCGTCGCCAGCTGGTTGCGCTGTCGTTAGCATTATTGAGCCTAGCATTTGGCAATGTATACTCAGTCTCGTAGCGGTCGCTATCAGATTTGTCCCAGCTCGCCCCACTCCAGCCCGCCTCGTGGTCTTGCATGACGCCGTGATTGGTCGTGAGCCCCGATGCCAAGCTCTGATCGGCCTGCGCAGCGTAATGTCCAGCCCAAATCTGATGCTTTAACCTTGGAAGTAGATCACGGGCGCTCCCTTGAAGGTGCTTGAAAATGATGGGTTCGGACTGTCCGTATTGTAGGATCACCTCGTATCCGATGAGAAGAGACGGTATGGTCCGCGCATTTCGAACGAGATTGACGACCAACTCCGCTGCATATTCGTGGTGATCAGAGAAAGCAGGGCTGTCAAAGAGTCGCGCGATCGCGTGATCTAGGTTATAAGTCTGCTCGAGGTATCGGCCTAGCGACGGGGGCAGCGTGCGACGCATCTCAAACGTTCAGCACGTAGTCAACTGAGGTTCAAGATCCTGCACTTACCATAGCAAGCATCCGCTAGCCTCAGAAAGCCAGATATGACTTTGGGCACTTTGCTCTTGGATATCCTGGCAGGGTATTGCGTCTTGCTGCTGCTGGCGACGGGCCCTTCGAGATCCGCATACAAAATCTCATCGAGCTCGGACCAGAACAGCTGAGGCGTGCTTAAGCGTGTTACGTCGTAAGAAGCTACAAAGGGCTCCATCTTGCCGGGCTGATACTTCACAACGCCTTGGTCAGCATCCACATGACCACGGACCCGGCTTCAAAGTCGTTGAAGGGCGTGGCGAGTGCTGCTCAGATACGCAGAGGCGCTCGGTTGAGAACAGGCTGGACCTAGAGTGCAGCTTGCAAGTAGAGTTGTACTGGAGACCTCAAACTTGGGAGTGTTGAGTGTCTACGCTGGGAGGTAGTCATCATAGCTACTGTCGACGATTCACAGCCAAGAAGACTGACTGACCGCTACATCGCAGTCTGTGAGTGTGAGTCGCAAGCCTTGATGCCACCCACGCGAGTAGGTACAGTTGGTGCAGACGCCAACGCCGCCTCCACAGCGCAAGGGCCCCTGCGTACGCACGCCTGCAGCGACTCGAGACTCGTCGATCGTGGCTCCTCTTCCGGCTGTCGGGCTGTCAACACGAAGTTCGCCGTGGGGCCGAAATTCCGTGCACGTGACCCCTGTTCATGTTTCCCTTTCTTCTGACAAAACTCTGACTCAAAATGTTGAATCGTTAGTCGACCACAGCCTAGCCGTTGCATGCGTCGACGGCAATCGCAGCATAGTCTCAATCCAAGACTGCAGCTCTAATCGTCGACCACTACCACAGTACATCCCACTCGAGATTGCAGCTGTTGTCCGACGCTCATCCTGGACTTTACACTCAAATCTCGCCGTGAAGATTGTGTCAACCGTGTCAGCTCAGACACACCAGACTCTCACTGTCAGTAACCTAGACAAGAGGCGCGAGAGCGTGCTGAGGCCTCTTGTCCATCCGCACATCGCCACGCAGTATCTTCACGCTCGACAGATAGAGCACAGAGCTGAGTACCTGCACCTGCTCGATCCAACAGCCCTCAGTCGCCACCATGCTCGCGGTCACACGACGCACGTGCTGGTCTGCCTCGAAGCACGCCAGCACCTCTGCCTTCCTTGCTAGAGCATGTGTGTCGACATGCTCTGCGCCAGCAAGAGCCACAGCAGAACCTGTGGTAGCATTGAAAGTCCACCAATGTGTCGGGCACCCAAGTGTATGCGCGAGCGCTCGATCCATGGCCACTTCTACAAAGCAAGGTGGATCATCTCCCTCTCGGCGGGGCAAATCCAAGAAGTCGGACACTCCAGCCAGCAGGCTACCTACTGGACATAAGAAGAGAAGCTACACGCTCGAAGATCTAGTCGCAGATACCACTTCCGACATAGGCGCACTCGAAAGGCACGAGGATTTCCCGCATCTACCTGCTCAGAAGCACTGGAAAGACGTCTTTAGCGCGGGCGTCGGAATCAGCAGAAATAGAACATTCATTTGCGACAAGGAGTTAGCTCATCGTGTCATCGAGGGCTTGAATCTCGACGAGGCGGAGGGACAAGTGACCATCGTCGAGGCGTATCCTGGTAAGTCAGGCAGTGACATCGAATCTTCTGGCCGAGAAAAGCATCACCTCACACCCTTGCTCGTCAGGTCCTGGCATCCTCACACGGCTTTTGTTGGAACATCCAAAGGTGGAGAAGGTGATCGCAATGGAAGACAACACGACATACTTGCCATGCATCCAGGTGGGTAGTGCTCAGTTCCGCTCTTCCACATCAGAGCGTCGTGCTGAGACGAGCAGCTCTTTCGCAGGCCCTGCAAAACGATCCGACAGTCGCGGGCGGCCCTCCTGGCTCAAAGCTCCTTATCGAGGGAACGAACCCATACAGGTGGGAAGCACACACAAACGTCATTTTGAGGGGAGCCTTTGACCATCTGCAAGGCAAATTGCCCGGAGATGGTAACGGAGAGGAGACCATCGATGTTAAAGCCATCTCGCAAGGAAAGGTTTCTCGGTTAAGGAAGCACGACACGGAAAGCTGGACCGGTTCGTCTGACGGCGAAGAGTTTGCGGTCATGAATGCGCTTGATTGACGGTCTCGCTTCTTTATACCCTCACAGCCAAATCTCAAATTATCTTTCTGGCTCAGCTTCCGAATATTGTGTACTCGGAGCAATTGTTCGCCCAGCTCTGTCACGCCATCGCCCATCGGCAATGGTACTATCAGTTCACCCGCGTCAAAATGGCGTTTGTTTGCTCTGAAGCGCTGGCAAATGTGAGTGCAAAGCGATTCAAGCTTGATCTGCATAGCGACTGATGCGCCTTGGTCATGGCCTCTCTAGCGAGCTCTAGCTGAGCCAGGAAATCGCGCTCGAGCCAAATTGGGCGTGATCGTACAGTCCCTCGCCGACGTCACCAAGGCCCTTCCTGCCTCGGAGTTCCTGCCCCACTCGCAGAAGATCTACCCAAGCACAGCACTTCGAGATCCCGAGCTCATCCAAAGAGAGATAGATAGCAACCAGGGTAAGGTGCTAGCGGCATACAAGACTTCGAGATTGGCGGCCAACCTCAGCAAAAGAGGTACCAGCTTGATCATCGTGGATCCCAAGATCAAGCCACTAGTTGGTCATGGAGAGCTGGATGCGTTGGAATTCATCACTCGCAACCTGTTTGTGCTTCGTAATCAGACCGTCGAACATGCTCTCAAGTAAGTGGGGCCTGGATGGACTCCTCGCAAGCTTGAGCATTCTGGTCCTGACGCGCAATTTCAAATGCCATCTCAGGCACGTCGCTCCTGGTGCCGAGAACCTTCTGCAGCACCTGAAGCCAGACACGGAAGAGACGAGGGATCACCCGGAAAGGATCATTCTGCCTGACTATATCGTCATGCATCTGACCAACGAGCAGTGGGCTGCACTGGCAAGAGTGTTCGACTGCTGGCCCTTCCGACCGCAGATTCTCATTGTAAGTATTGATGCGCTGCCTCGCGACGCGTCTACCGTTGCTGCGTAGTAGAGGAGAAAGCAAGCTGACTTTGCGTGCTTGATTCATTGCTCTGTCCAACAGGAGGATCAGAGGGCTCCCGGAGGAGAATTGCCAGGTCTATTGTAATGTAGCGTCATCACCATTCAGGACCAATCAGGCATGCAATGTTCCAAAGTCTCAATCAGGGAGAGCTTAAAGTTGAGCGTCTGATCAGTGTGCATGCGGATGTATGCAGAATAGGCAGGATGGAGAGAGAATATAGGGCGCATGCACACATTTATTTATTACAGAAGCCCTGTGGCCGAGTGGAAGTTGAATCAGTACGTGTATTCACGGGCTGGGAAGGTGCACTCGCCGCAGGTGCAGCGATCCTCGCGAGGGGATTCGGGGATCATGATCGGCGGCCAAGCTTTTTGCGCGGTCCGGCAATCATTCTTGCTTGCCCTTCTCACCTTGGCTGCATCACCTTTTCCTCGATCAAGCTCCTGGGCGGGTTGCATCTTTCATGCTTACGAGTGCAGACATGCACGCTGGCAAATTGCATCCAGCGATACGTGATAAGCCTCCCACGTGTGATTGAGCCCGCACAATGGTATTCAGACGACAGTCACACAAACTTAGACGAGGCCAGAATGAGCAGTATCATTGGGATTTGGATTCGAATGCAACGGGTGTGACCTCAAGAGGCAATTCAACGTGAAGGACCCACACAGTGTCCACAGTCCGTGAAGCGCCCCAGGAATGTGAACGTTTTGTCGTGTACAAACGTGGACCGATGATGAGGTGCTCCTTCCGTTTTATGCCTGCACTGTCGAAGCTTTCTGCGCGTCGTTCTGCAAGCCGCGATTGGATGCGGGAGCGTTGAGAAGGCGTCTAGGTCTCCAGCGCCTAGCAATTCTGAGCAACAGGAGGGGATCTCCTCTGCCTGTAATTCTTTGGATCAGCAGCAAGACAAGACTGGCAAGCAGGGCTAAGCTAGTCAAGTCCAACGCCAGTCGAACGCTGAGATTGAGCACTGCAATGGCCAGCCTCAAAGGTGCTCCGCTTGGAGATCTACCAGACCCTCCGATCGAACGTCCGCTAGCTGATCCTGGTGCTGTTCTGCCTGCTCGCGAGCCAGATGCGAGAGCATAAGAGGGTGGCGCAGCGTTGCCCCGTACCGCAGAGGATAGGCCTACCAGAATGGCAATATCGTGCAGAGCATCCGCGAAAGCTCCATAAGCCGCTCTCAAAGCTCCTCCTCGACTATTTCTCCCGCCAGATGCTCCTCCCGCCGCTCCGGCACTACCTCCAAAGAAGATGCCCATCAAGCCCGATCTGCCTCGATCCGTCTCGACCCGGTTCAGTCTTTCGTGCAGTGCGGTCAGACTGTTTTGGATGGACTGCAGCGCCTGCTCCACGTCTCCTCCGCCTGACGGCGCGCCCCTTGCTTGCTGTGGCATCGGTCTTCCGCCCGACCGTCCACCCACCGACGAAGGAGCATATGGTCTGACACTTCCCGAATGATGATAGTAATGCTGTTCGCTGGGAGGGGCCCCACCTGGTCCAGGTCCATGGGCTCCCCCGAGTCCAGGCGGAGCCCTAGAGGGTGCTGCAGTCGAGTAGAGAGAAGCGCCCGCACCTCCTCCAAAGCCTGTAGCAGACTCACTAGGCGGCATTCGCGCGCCACCTGGAGGCGCATACAACCTTTGATCCCCGTGTCCGCTCAGACTACCAGGCCCTCGAGACCAAGATTGCGGTGTCGCATATCCTCTCGAATGCGCTGCCGATGGTCCATGGCTTTGCCCACCTGGCGGCCCTCGCCTGCCGCCCTGACCCCTCGCAGCAGCTGCAGCTGCAGCTGCACTCTCCAACTCTGCCTGTCTCCTTTCGTACCTCTCTACCGTGTCTCCATCCGATTCCGTCTCGGAGTCACTTATTTGAGCACTGGGTGCAGGGGCTGCGGATCCAAACCCTCTGCGCTGCGGCGCCTGTTGACTGGCAGAAGGTCCAGCGCTCTGTCTCCCAGCCCAGGCTGCTCCTCGACCTCTCGTCGCCTGTGCTGACGTCGGCCGAGATACTGAAGCCGATGCCAAAGCAGAGGGCGGCAGCTGAGGGACTGCGTCCCTCTCCGACTCTGAGTCATGCAAGGCTTGAGCTGGCCCTCCAGGGGAGGGCGGGCGAGTATCCGAATCTGTGTCCGAATCCGCTTGAGCAAGCGAAGCTGCGCGCACATCATTGGTCGGGTCAGCCGTGCTTCTTCAGACAATTCTTCGCTCGAGGAGCTGTACGCTCACCACTCATGACCCGATCTGCCACATCGCCAGAAAAGCTTTCCAGCTCTTCAATCAAAGCGATCGCCATGGGCCGGTCGCTGAACTTCCGCAAAGTCTGTTTGCAAGCGCAATCTTATGTGAGCTTTTGCCTTCGAGCTGTCGTTTTGCCGGAAGCTCGCTGAAGCACGCAGACACGCTGTACTCACTCGTAGCATGCTTTCTACATAGAGCTGCTTTGCGTCCATGCTACTGAGACCTTTGCGACCTGCCCAGGCATCCCTGCACCATGCGGAGAGACGTATTGATACGCATAATTGAGGATTGCAATCGAGGTGAAACGCTCTGTGCACGCACCACTTTGCCCTTCCCAGCATATCGAGCATTCCAGGCCTACGAGACGTGACATTGCCCTCCGTTGCTGCAGTACAGGGGATCGGCCGTCAGTTCTGCTAAGCCAAAGCCCCTATGGATGTCGAAAACGTCCGGCTCACCTTGCTTGTACAGACTGGCCGCAGAGACACGGCGTGTGCGATTTTGAAGGTGAGCAAACGAAGGTGAGCAAACGAGCTGCTTGCTATGAACGAGGACGCAGTCCTCACCTGTAAAGAGCCAATTTCTCCTCATAGCTCGTTTGGATCGGACCTGTCTTTGGTAGACTCTGGACGATATCCACTGTCCTCTCGAACAGCCTGTTCCGCACAAGTGCGAGCATCATTTGGCAGACGTCAGTGACCCAGACCAGACAGCGAGATTGCAGTCAAAGTAGCACTCGGCACTCACGCATCTATGACCTGTGCTGACGAAGACATGTTTGCTGCGTTGGAGCGCGGGCTGCGTCTCGTGACTTGGGGTATGACCACGAAAGATTTGCCGGAGTGCCACGGCGAGCTTGATCTGAATCTCAGCAGGCAGAGCTGCGGAACTAGTCGAGAGCACGAACACCAGCTGCGTATCCTCGAATCGTGCGTCGAAAGAAATGATGCCACACCTGACTGGTCTCGCGCAGTGCCGTATTGGATTGTCGTCTGCTGAAGATCGATGCGATGGCCAGCCTTGACCGCTACTATGACGCTTCTGTCGCGGCGTTCACTCAATGCGTGCGGCTACCCACAGCTCGGCCCAGCCAAAATGAGGCGGTGGTTTGTCAATCTTCGTAGCCGTCGTCGAGTCGCACGTTGCTAGGTGAGTGGAAACAGAGAGAGTCGTGGTGTATATTCGCAAGGCTCTCCTTGCCGTCGTATCGTGTTTCACGAGTCGTCTTGATCCTACAACAGCTTCGCAGGTCGATCGATGCCGTGGCCGGGAGGCTAGATGCAGCATGCAGATGCAAGCGAGGAATCTGGCGGACGACCTGCGTGCGGGGGCGAAGCAGCTTGGCTTAGAGCAGCATCCAGCGTCCGCTACAGGAAAGCGGAGAATCGTGAATACCCATTAGAATTGCGCGTGAGACCGCGCACGCCACCAGCAGGGTCAGCTGCGATCCGGCTCCCATGACGTTCACAAGATTGCACACGTGACCTTGATAAGCCGGCGGCTCATCTTACGACTTGGTGGGACTTTTCGGGGCGAAGCTGGTGGTTATTGGTTTGAACGCTTGATAGCAGTCAATTCGAGCCAAATTCACAGCAAAGATCGTGTGACAAAGTTAGACATTGCAAATAGTAGCAGATCAGGAAAACACAAGCGAACAGCAAGACAAGAGCAAGAAAGACGTAGCCACGGTACACCAAATAAGGAATAGCTCAATCGTTGAGGTGGCGGGAGAGAGGTCGAAGAGAGCGGCAACGTGGTCGGACTACACCTCCTCAAGCATCGTGAGGCACCTCGACAAAAGCTCTGAAGACGACAAGATCCTCTATTGAGTTCTCCTTGACCCGCAGCGTGATTGTCGTTCCAGCGCCAACAAAGAAAACCTGTCCTGCTCTTTCCAACTCAAATTCCCTTCTCGAATCGGGCTGCATTGCGTCTGAAGGTCTCTCGTTGTGCGAGGCGTATCCGTTAGAGTGAGACACGGGCTGCGGAATAGAAACGAAGCTGCCTTGGCCTGAAGTGACGATGAGGA